CGGATGTTAGTCCAGGGAACCGTTATTTACGCCCTTCAGGGTGTAGAACTTTTTAATGTGCGCAACCTTTTTAATGTGCCGTGAAGCGAATGGTATATTGATGAAATCGTTGAAAACTTTAAGAGAGACTGTCAAGACTTTCGATTTTAGACTTGGTGACCGTGTTCACTGTTGTGTCGGCGTGCGACATTGTCATGTAATCGTATCTATAGTCGTTCGTGCGCAAGCGCAGGCTGCGAGTATGCATTTGAGCATTTTCAGTTTTTTTAGCGCTCTTGTAGTGATTTATAAAGCCTTTATGTTCATGTAAACTTCCATATACACTAAAGTAGGGGATGTTGTGTCGGCGTACTGCACCCTCATGCTGCTGTTTCTATTGTCGCTCGCGCGCAAGTGCGCCTGTATGTTATCCCTTGGGCTCTGGCCAGGTAACCTATTGTCCATAGAGCACCACTGCTGTTCACTCAATCGTCCATTTGTCTTGCCGGTTTGCAATGTGTCAGCAAACCAGCAACACCTGCTGCCTCTGACTGCTGTCTATCCGCATATCTACACGAAACATTTACAGCTTTCAAAATGCTGACCTTTTTTCATTTTTTTCAGATGTTTTATCCGTCAAAAAAAGGTCTGACAATTGTGAAGGGGGATATTTTGGTAGGTGCCACGCTTTTAAACTGGTTAGTCCTTACGGAGTACCTTGGCAGGACACATTTAGAATTCAACGAAACCAAGAAACCCATTTGAGATGAACCCTCCTTAAGCTAAGTTGCGGATAATCGGGAAGCAAACATTTAACAGTAACGCGTGATAAATTATCTTTAATATCGATAGACATTTTCCACATAAAGATGATACCAAGCGGCGAAATGTCGAAGTACGATGGGCGTTCAAGTGGGAAGTTGCGTTACCCTTTCGACCTCCTCCTGAGGGGAGGACTTCTCGGAGTTGCGAAGGATGCAGAACAGGTAACGCAACTCAATATCACCAGGAAGGCAAGGCCTGGGCACGACGTCATCGTTAGAAAGAGTGGGGCGTCATCACGGTCGGATGGCGCCATATCAGCGATTGGACCCGAGCCCGGTGCCGAGCGTCCGATTCGACGCGTTGATCGGACACGAGGCCCAGCCGAACGATGACGCCACACTCGTAACCAATCCGTGTCTTCGCTCGATCTCACCGCGATAACGTCAGAATTCTAGCTCACAGGCTTTGATTATTCTAGTTGGTGCTCACTCGGCGCTCTCAATCTGCCTCAGAACGGCGTCCTTTTGGTGCCCAATTCCTCCTAAATTGAACTGGTGTAGACACCCATTCAGGTTTTCAAGCTAAATTTAACGGTGAAACGCGTCCCGCTAAACAGCAAAAAAAAAAAAAAATTAATTGAAATGAAAAAATTTAATTGCTACACGCAAATCTAGGTTTTCTCGCCATATTTCACAGGGAAATGCCTCCCGTTAGATTTGTGGGGTGAAATTAGGTTGGTGTATAATTATACAGCATTTAAGGTTTTCCTCGCTTAATTAGCTACTGCGCAACGATGAAGGGAAGCACTTGATCTCACAGCTTGGTGAACCCAGAAATGTTACTGCGTTTAATATTTATATTTATTTTTATCGTTTGTCAAATGGCTTAATTTTTTCCACGTATGAGCAGAATTGAAATCAGTTTGAAGAACGTGCTCAATTATCAGCTTGGATAATGTTTTTAATGAGTCGGGGAGATTTTCATTTATAGCTCAGCTTAATCGCTTGCAGTTCTCGGTATATCCACACAACATTATGGGTACCCACACCGACAAAACTGTGGAAGGCGGATCTTGCACACAGAAGGCAGTCCTATTAACCGCCCTTGAATGACGCCCAATAGTCATTTGTTAAACATTTGTTTGATAGATGGTTAAGCTTATGTGAGTCTGGATAAAAGCGTGGCCACGAGCCCCAACACACATTGGTTGGCGGACGGGAGAGGAAGAGTGAAGTGCTCGACACTGATTGGTCAGCGGAAAGGTCATACTACCAGGGGTGGAGTCAAGAGGAGAGGTATAGGCGAGGTGGGAGAGCATGAGTGGGTTAGAAGGTTCTGGAAGATTGCCAGGTTTATCATTTCAAGTGTACACATTCCGCACGTTAAATTATCCGGCGAAGAGCACCGTGAACGTGGGCGTCTTGTTGAGCAGGCTGGACGTGTTTGCTAAACGATGATATGAATGTTTCTGATGCTAGAAGGTTTCACGGAAGCAACACAATTGTCTAGACATTTGTCGTAGATTTATGTACGACTTTCTGGTGGGTAAACGAGGCCGATGCTTCGAATTTTACAAGGTTTGATTTTCGCAAACGCTCATGTGTCAAAAAAATGGATAATATATAAGCCAAGAATTACAACAATAAAATTAAAAACTGCAGAGTAGTGGATCCCGCAACATAAAAAATACAAAAAAATACGGATTTGAATTTACATTTTGGGGAGGCGGGTTGGATGCGGGTATCAAAATTATGGTATAGGGATAACAAAACCATTGCACTATATCTACACACCCTAAAAATTTAACATAAAAAATCCTATTTAAAATTTGCTTCACATGACACACAGTCTTGGGTAAGTTACTTTCAAAAAAGTTATTCGTTACATTTACATTCAGATGATAGCAGTGAAGCTACAGTTGCAGTTGCAACAAGGAAAAAGTCCTTCGTTACAGTTACTTTTAAAAGTAGCAGCGTTATTTTTAAACAGACATGTACGTAACGCGTTACAATAAACGAATTACTTCTTCCTAGTTACTATTTTCGGTAACGAGTAACGTATTTAGTTACTTTAAACGAGTAACGTACTTAGTTACTTTTAAGGTCAAGTAACGAGTAACGGTATCTCGTTACTTCTGAGGAGTAGCGTGTACAACACCGCTTAAACGGCCTCGTTTTATTCTAACCTGAGTGTGCGTCTATTGAGAGAACGGTAGGTGGGCAACCCGAAAAACAACTAAACAGTATGAAAAGTGTATCAGCGTCTATCGTTGAACACGTCAGTCGAACAGTTTGACTGACGTGTCCAGCGATAAACGTTGCTGTACTCAACTCTACAGCTGGGAATGTCCTTCACCCAGCGAACACAATAAGGTTCGTTGATTGAACCTTCCAGAACCGGGTACAGACCGAATGTAAACTTAGAGGTTGCCCAACACGGGAAGGCACATAACCCATTACCCGCTGTCCTCAATGAAGGCGCAGTTCGCGAAGATTCACCAGCTCTTCCTGAAGCACAACACTGCCGTTCCTTCAAGCGCGTCGGTAGAACGACTCCTCAGCGTCGCCGAAGATGTATTCTTGAGGAAGCGGGGAAACATAACCGATGAAAACTTTGACAGGCAGCTACTGCTTAAGTGCAACAACTACTAAAAAGAAAACAATAAACCATGAAACAAAATAGTTGTGCATTTGGTCGCCAAAGTAACGTGAAAAGTAACTCGTTAATTCTAAGGTAACTCACGCGTTCCTTTTTAGAATCGGTAACGAGTAACGTATTTAGTTACTTTTTGAGCGAGCAACGAGTAAGAATATTCAGTTACTTTTTTGGGTAACGTGTACATGTCTGCTTTTAAGTTACTTTTCCATAAAGCTACAAATCAAGGGAAAAAAGCAGAAGATCCTTCGCCCTAAATTTATTACAAAAAGTGCAAGTAATGTGGGCGCATGTTGGCACAAGCCAAACATGACACTCCAGTTGCCGGAAAACATAATTTGATAAGTGTAAGCGATGGCTACATTATACTCGTTCAATTATACCTTAATACTGAAGAAACCGTGAAAAGTAACGGCGAAAATAAATTCGTTACTCTCGTCGTTAGTCTAGACAAAGTAATAAAATTACGGTTGCAAGTCACCTTCAATATAGAGTAACTCGTTACTGTTAAAAGCAACCAAAAAGCAACGAAGTTGCAGTAAGGCGGTACTTGGAACGTGTTATTTTTAAGACTGACTACACAGTGCTTCTGTAAGTGAAGTAACATCCTGCCAAACATTGAGTGGATGGCTCATTTCTTTAAAATTACATTTTATTCTTTCGTGTTAAACAATTGCTAACACATTCCTTATCCGTATTTATTTTTGCTTCAGGCTGCACGCTGCACCATGAAAAACTTCAGGAGCAGAGACACTTACGTAGGGTGAGGATATTTACCTAAAGATGTTGGGTCACTAAAATTGTCACTGCTTTAGACATTTTGTTGCGGTTGTATATATGCCATGCGAAATCAAATTTTTATCTGTGAAGTAGTGAGTCGTAAGCCTGGTTCGCACATTCGTGTTTGAGTGTAACCGACTGCAGTGAAACCTCTCGTAACTGATTGCGACGAGCGAACACATTGACGCCATCTGTCGGGTAACCCTGGAACCTTTCCTATCTACGTCTATAGTTTCTTATTTGTTCCGCAACATTTTTTCACTCGAGGCTTGAAAGAGTTCTAACAATCTTATGGGCCACCTTTTATATATATATATATATATATATATATATATATATATATATATATATATATATATTGTACGTAGATTGGATCTCCCAAATACTACGAAACCTTCAGTCATGTTGTGCGAAGATCTGAACTACCAACTAGACCAATGAACCACCTATTACAAGGCAGATTCGCTTCATCCGTACTTCTCCAAGAGGCATCGATAGAATAAGGCTAATTATTCCAGCTACTTTTACTGCCCCTGCGAAGCATTCAAATTGTCGTAATAGTTTTATTTGTGTTTTTTGTAACTCTACTACGCGTGTGTCGAAAGGGTTTCACTAAGGTTTAATTGCGATCTCAATATTTTCCTCTACAGCCCCACATCGGAAGATGAGATGTGCGACTTCTATGTGATGTACTACACAGACGGAGACAAGATTCTAGAAGAGGGTTTGTGTTACTCCGAAGCGTCCCCGACTTACTACTGGAGAACAGATCCGATGCTCAAAGACCACGTCACGCCCGCAATCGACGAAGACGCCAGCACTCTCGATTGATACGCCCTATGCGGAGATCAAGGTCGACTGCTTCTTGCGCCGCGGTTGCGGTGTCGTCAGAATGCCGAGCTCTGATTTGCTCCGATTGGAAGAATAGTGGATAGACCGATAGCCTCCTATGTACTGACAAAGCTTGGCAGACCGCCACGAGAAGCGGCCGCCGAAACGAAAAAGGGGGAGCGGCAGACAACGGATGAGAGGAGAGCCACGTGACTGGCGCCCCGCTGCGGCGAGACGCCGAAACACACTTCTTCCGAGCGAGCAAGTGTGTTTCGGGTCCTCGCCGCTGCAAAAGCTGTGCGCTGACGTCCGAATTTTTCGAGAAATGGCGCTTTGATGCTCTTTGCTGCCAGATCCTTGCGCTAAAAATCTGCGACCGGGCACTGTTTGCCTCCGTCGTCGAACTGCCAGGCTTTGTGAGTATAGAGAAGGCTATGATATAACTCTCAACGTCCTATGTGTGGGCCAAACACCCACTGATAGCATCTGAGCCAGTGGAGAAGATCCATGGTCGTTTGACGAAGTTAAAAAAAAAAAAAAGAAACAATAAGGACGGGCATAAGCCTTACGGACTTTCGTCGTGTTCAACCCCAAAGCTGAGCGAATACCAAAGTTCCTATTAGCCCCGAGATATTAGGGGGGCGCCCCCTTACGGTTTCCGTTCGTGACGTCATGACCAGTACTTGACTCACCCTGGTTGACGGGATTTGCCGCACCGCGAACCGGTGATTGGGCAGGCGTCGTCACTCAATGCAAGAAGCGTATGATTAGGCCAATCGCGAACTTCGACCACAGCTACGCTTTTGTTCGCGTACATCGCTGTCACTGTCGACTTAAAAAACTCGAGGCGAGGAATTATTATGTGAATTCACGCTCCTTGATACGTGATTGCTCCCTGGGCGTTTTCAGCCTTCGGCGCGCTGCAATCTTTGTCTGCTGGGCTGTAGGACGCCTTCTAATTATTTTCGTCTGCGTACGCAGCTTGGTCACTCGACATTTTCTTTCCCGGGGTGATACGGCGCTGGAAATGTCCGTAGTCTGAAAGTGTCAAACGCATTGTTATTACACGTAAATACGAAAACCTGACTGAATTCTTGAAATTCGGGGGCTGTGAGCTGGTTTGCAGTGCCCAGTATTGGGCCAATGAAATACATTGAACGATGCATCCCGTTAAAAGTCGAGTCTTTCTTTTTCTTTTTTATTCCATCTTTATTTTATTCTATGCAGTTTTTCAGAGTGCGAAAACTAAGGCCTATAGTCGGTGACAGGTCACTGTAGATGCTCCGCCTCCAGCAAGCATTATACTCGCATTCAGTTCGAGAACAGCAGTAAAAGTAGTCCGGCTCCTCGAGGAGCATTACTAATTCCCGCCTTTTTGTAGTGAATTAAATAAAAGTAGTCCGGTTCCTCGCGGAGAATTTATCGTTATGTAGTTAATTAAAATATGTGTAGGTTCATTTTATATAAGCTACGTGTTGTTTTACCAAGACGTACTTGTTTCAAACCCCCAAAAAAGCATTGTTTCTTCCCCCTCCAAGCAAAGCTTTGCAAGAACTACTTTGCTCAGCGTATCAAAAATGCGTAAAACTTTTTTTTTCTTGTTGCGCATGCGACGAAGTGTTATCAAGGGCAGAAAAAGCTTGCAATGGAGGCGGAGTAGTACATGTATAATGTGTGCTTAAACTGTCGCCGTCTATATAGCTAATAGGTGCTATCTCAGTATTGCAGAGCGATATTATACGAGAAACATTGATTCGTGCCTGACGATGCGACGTATTTCGTACATTTTGTTTTGCTGCCATGCTTCCATTATTTTGTTGTTTAATCACTTTTCTATATTTTTGGTACATATATGACTCCCACCCTTCCCCAATGTGATATCCTTCTTTGGAGAGCCTTTATAGATATTCCGAATAAATAAAAGAAATAGCACGTTCCAAAAACAAAACAAAAAAAAGGTTGTTGCGTTTTTATTTTAAATTGAATAGACAGCTTATGTTAAGTAACGAATGAGTTTGTTAGAAGTAAATAAGATTTGTTTTAGAAAAGTTTATCGTTCTACAGTTGTGTCGGCATCGTTTTTTTTTTTTTTTTTTTTTTTTTTATCTGCCTATGATTGGGTTCACATTTTTGGGCGTTTGCTCGCAGACCCGCGGCAGGGGGTGAGAGTGAACGGGGAGTCGTCTTGTTCTCTCAAGCGCGGGGGGCTTCGAGCAGCAGCGGGGCTCGGTGGAGAAGAGTTGGACCCCGGTCGTTAACAAACGGATTGGGTTTCAGTTTGGGGGGCGCCGGAAAACCCCTGTCTTGGGCTTCTGTCCGCACTTGTGGCTTTTAAGCGGGTGTGCTTGTGTCCTGCGTATTTCGCCGCTTAGTGTAGAAAACTTCGCTTTTAGTGGACGCAACAACTTAACTCTGTGGCGCCAGCCAGACGGCGAAGAAAGCATGTGGTGACTCTACAAAGAATTTGGGTTTGACCCTTGAAGTGTCGGGGGGGGGGGGGGGGGGGGGGGGGGGGTGTCAGGTTGACAGCTCGCTGGTCATTGGGTAAGAGTGTACCACGTGACAATGGGCAAATTTGAAGTGATTGGCCCGTCTCTGGAGGGAAAGGAGGCCCCTACGAGTCTAGAAAAAGGCTGCCGAGAGGATTCTCGGGGATTCAGCTTTTGAGATCAGGCAGATTCGGCTCTTGAGACTGGGGGACTAGAATATGGGTTTTAATTTTCCGAGTTTTGTCATGTAAATTACTGTTGACTTGTTGTCGTTTTGTTTTGAAAGAAACGTGGCCACACCGGCCATCGTAAACCAACCAACGTCGTAATGTGTCCAGCGGGATCGAACAACTTTTAGTGTTTTTTTTTTGTTTTTTTTTTTGTTATTCGACTTCCCGGGGGACTTACATCGGGCGAACATCATCATCGGTCGTCACCATCCTGACCGGGCCATGAGTGTAGCAAAGCAAAATAGGCCGTCGACTTGTAAACGTATTTAAACAATATAAGATGGACAGCTCTGATACGGGTAGAGCGATATTATTGAAAAGACGATAACATGATTGTTGAATTTCACTAACTGCATATATCACCATACTGGGACAAAAAAAAAAAAAAAGTCTGGGGCCCGAAGATTTGGAGCTAGAAATAATATTTTCGCTCTGAAATTTTGAAGCTAGAGCGGACTAGATTTTTTTTTTTAATCTCTTTTTCTTAAAACGTTTTCTGCCTTTTTACCATAATGAATTCGCAGGGCTCAGCCACGTCAGCCGATTCCAGCTGGAAGATTGTATACGAGCACTGCATCGTTCAGACTGCAGAAGGCAAATATCAATCTGCCGAGAAATGTTCTGGTTCGCTTCCTCTGCTAATTGTACTTCGCATCTATTGTTCTGTGCAACGTTGCCAAGTCTAACACGGTAAAGCAGCCCAGCACTGCCTCGAAGCACTTTATCTTTTCCAAGCCTCCTTCACAATAAGACAATATTATTTATATTTTCATCGAATTTATTAAAGAAAAGATACAAGGACGTCAAATCTGCGTTGAAACGCTTCTGATTGCTACCTTGCGGATTTGTTTTGTCGCTGCCATGCAAGAATCTACACCGGGAAGCAATATGAACCATTATTTTATTTTGTGTGAAAGATGCAAGAAGAGCCTAGAATTTGATCATGTTCTCATGAAGCGCAGTAAAAGGTGCAGTCAGGTGTAACAGAGCCTGCGTACTCGCCGGAGCGATTCGTCTAGTTTTTAACGCGGTGATTAAATGAGATTTTACGAAAAAATTGCATAGTAATTCAAGTACCTCTAGCGCGTGCGAAGTGAGTCTCACTACATGCAGCATGTACACTAACGTTTCGATCCCACCTTGGACAGTCAGAAAAAATCGGTTTCTCAATGTAGCGTGTTGCGATTTACTACAGAGGTGCAGCTAGGTGGTGCACGTATAGAGTTAAAATATCAACAAATAAACTTATTTCGCTCAAAAAAAAAAAAAAAAAAAGCCTGTTTCGGGCTATCTGCCGCGGCATTCGCAGACGACGGCACGACCGGGCTCGTCTAGTTAATTCTGCCGCCGACAGATGTCGCGAGCGTCAAGCGCACCGGCGCCGAGCTTAGCAGACGATTTTCAGAGACTTTCCACCATGGAGGTAGGAATAACAGGAGGCGACATACCGGCTGAAACCATCCACACAAGAAAATCTCAAGTGTGACCGGAAATAGAGGTCGCGGTAGGTGGGAACGACCTCAAAGGTGCCCAAGTCCGTCCAATGGCGTCTTTCGGTTTTGGTCATCGCTGAAGCGGTGTCCCTCCAAACCGGAAGTCTCTTCCAGCCCCGCTTCTGGTGGCGTCATGTCGGACCAATAAGCTCCCTCCCTCTTCCTACCTCCTTTACTGAGACGTTGTCTGTTTTTCTGTCTTCCTTTGCGTTTTCTTTTCCTTGCCCTTGTTTCAGGTTTACCATCATGTTCTTACCTCCATGCTTGTCACTATGGCGGTTTTAGAAAGTGACACAGAGATATTCGTAAGATAAGTAGGTAGTTTGATACCTATATTTTAGTGAGCCTTTTTAGGGTATGGCTGCTTCAGAAAACGAATTAAGGGAAAGTCCCCGGTTTTTTTCTAAGGGCTTCGAAAAACTTATACACATTCGTCTGTCTATTTTTTTAAAAATAAGTATCGTGTAATTACTAATGATCAATGTGGGTTCATGAAGCATCGTTCGACCGATCTTGCATTACTAGAACAAAAATAATGTAATCTAGAGAGTATTGAGGCAGACCACATGGCTTTAGCAGTATTTATTTATTTTACGAAAGCATTTGATTATCTATAATATAATTTTTTATGAGATTCTGGGTCAAGAACTTAAATTGCCTCAGTCATATTTTAGTAATCGTAAGCAGTTTGTCTATTTAAATGGTTTTTCAGGTGAAACGAAATCTGTCTTCTCCGGTGTGCCACAGGGGAGTATTGTGGTACCTTTGCTATTTAACATTTATATTCA